ACTGACTCATAGTGACCCTGTAGGGTAGAGGAGAATGGGTCCACAGGGTTTAGCTTTGGAAAAAAATGAAAAAGGATTAGGACACAAATGTAGAGATTGATCTTGGAAATAAAGCGTGCAATCCAGGAAGGTGAAAGGAGTGAGCATTTGAAGACTGGAAACCTTCTGTTAGCTAGGCGATAAGAAGAAAGCTCTGTAGATAGGGTTGATTACATAAAATAAAACTAATTCTTCAAAGAGGAATCAAAGTAGGTAATAGCCTACAGCTAAGATTTGTGAGTGAAGGAGAGTGAGAAATTCTTCTAGAAAAATAATCTGAGGCAAATTATGGTTGGTTTGAGAGATTGGCTTTTTATCTCACTGGCTATTTAAGTAGCCAGGGGAAAAGATACAATCTTTTAGGTTTTTAAAGGAAAGATAGTTTCCTAACAAGTAAAATAAAGCTTGTTTTAGGGTATGAGAAAGGGAAAGGTAAACGGGGGGCAGACTCTTTAGGAAACTGTAACAAGACCTGGAAAAAATAATCTGCTGGCATTGAGCTAATTCCAACTCCTGGCTACCTAGACTGTAAATCTGCACAGGAGCCTAAACTATGATACCTTCTGTCTTCACCTGGAAGCATTCCATGTATAGTGCCATTCTTATGCTTTCATTATTGCGGATCATTCTGACATGACAAATTTAAAGCAAAGAAGACTTCCAGTTAGCAAGAAGAGAGATAGAAAAAAAGGTCTGTTACCCAGATCAAAGAATTTTAAAGAATCTATTTGGTCTTAAAACAGAATTAAAAAAAATAATAATAATGATAATAATAAATAAATAAAACAGAATTAAGATTAACTTCCCCTTGTGGATTGAGTCCCTTTTTTCCTTCTCTTCATCCCTTCCTAAACTCTCCTTCCTCAGTGTGCCAGGACTCCTTGTCAATACCCATATTAGTACTATTCACTGGTCTGCCACTGATTTTTATGTCTTTCTCCCTTACATGCTTGTGAGTGCATGTTGTTGTTGTTAAGTGCCATTGTGTCAGTTCCGACTCAGAGCAACCCTGTATGGGGTTTCCAACAGAGAAAATGCAGCTTTTCTGTGTTGGTGTTTGCCAAGACAGTATTGTCTAATAGTAGGTTATTGAATAGAGGTGGCATAATTGAATAAGAATTAACAGACCAAAGTCAGGAAAAATAGTACACCTGTTCATTAATTATTGAAAAAAATGAGACCAGACACCTAAGGTTTTAGCTTACTTTCATTTTGTTGTTGTTTAATGAAAATTATCTCTGCTTGATATGTAGCGTAATCTCTCACACATTTTATGTTTCACATGTGAACAATAAATAATCTAATGAGGGTAAAGAGATAGAATCATAACAAGTGATCCAATTTCATAAGATAATTAATGGTGGTTGGTGGTTATGTGCTACGGAGTCAGTTCTGACTCACAACGACCCTGTATAGGATTTCTGAGGCTGTAAATCTTTATGGGCAATATAACTTATTAGGCTAAGGAGTCTTGGTGGCATAATGGTTAAGCGCTTGGTTGTTAACTGAAAGGGTCAACAGTTCGAACACACCTACTGCTTTGTGATAGAAAGATGTGGCAGTCTGTTTCTGCAAAGATTACAGCATTGAAAATCCTAAAGGGCAATTTTAGTCCATCCTTCAGGAATGCTATGAGTTGAAATTGACTGACAGCTATGTTTTTTTTTTAATGGTTAACATTTTAGTGAATCAAAAGACTTGCTTCAGTGATGTCTGCATCTGTAATTTAAATTCATTTCTCCCTCCTTCCCGCCCCCATCCATTTATAATGTTGCATTGTACTGAAACTGAGAAGACAGTTCAACTCTTTCCTAAATTTGTAAATTTACAAATAGATCTCAACCCAAACATTGAGTATCTGGCAAATACATTCTCACAAGGCTGTGTCAGTAAATACTTAATCTAAAACTCAGACCTGCTTTCTCTGATTGAAAAAGCCTACTGATGGCCTGCTTCCCTTTTAGTTTTTCTACATATAAAGAATGTAAGATAGCCAGGACAGCTTATAAGCTTGATAGTTGTCTTTTTTAATATAAAATATCATACTGGCTTATTAATCAAAATATAATGAGTTCTTAACACATACTTGCAGATAACACCCATTTGACCTAGCTTCAATGGCTGGATGATCAGAATTTGACTACACGAAGAAAGAAGAGGAAAAGAAGAGTAACCTGCTATAATTTGATGAACTTGACCTATATTTATGGATGTAGTTGCTTGAGGCTCATTCCCACCCCCTCCGTACACAAGGTTGGTAGGGATGGTCAACTTAGACATTGGCTACCCAAACTGGGGGGGGACTACAAAAGCACGAAGTAACTGTCTTACAAACTTTCAAGAGGGTACAGGGGAAGGTAGAATCTCCGCACGAAGTGACTGTCTTACAAACTTTCTAGTTTCAGAGGGTACAGGGGAAGATAGAATCTCCGCTGGACAGGACTGATTCTGAGTGTTGCAAATGTAAAGGAAGATGTTTTGTCACAAAAGGAGGGAGTGATTGACCTTGCAGTCCAGGAGTAGAGGACCCTGGGACCATCAAGGGAAAAGAGCAGAGTGTGGGACCCTATCCAGAGAAGCAGTGACACCAGAGATAGAGGCAGAGACAATGCCAATTATGTGGAAAGATGGAGTGGCTGAGGACCCCAGACTCAGGAAGGGAAAGGGGCTGTGTGCTGACGGCTAGAGGGCAGGCTTGCGGGGCATGCCCTTTGGTTGTTTAAATGGTTGTATATTCCTGAGTGCTTCAGTGCACATCCAAACAAACAAACAAACAAACAAACAAAACAGAGGAAGCAAATGCTGTTGAATGATGATGCATGGAGGTGATTGTAATCATTGCAATGAAACGAAATACAATGGGGTGAATGTAAAGCTGATGGATGTTCTCCCATGAAAACTATCACTCAATTCACAATAAAAACTTTAAAAACTCATTATATATAAATCAATCAATTATATATATATATAATGAGTTATCATCCTAAGTAGTCAGTAGGAGACAATTCTCAAATCTGTGGAAGAAATATAATTTCCCACAAACTACTAGTATCTACAGCTCTTTATTATTGATCAAAGCATTAAATATATAGCAGAGAAATTGTTGTTGATGTTGTAAAGTGCTGTTGAGTCAGTTCCAATTCATAGCGACCCTGTATAGGGTTCCTAAGGAGTGACTGATTAGTTTGAACCACCAATGTTGCAGTCCAGTGCTTATCCAACAGAGTCACACCAGGACTTCAACACAGAAATGGTGAACCAAAAATAGATACATAAGAGAAAAACACCTAAATACTCACCAATTCAAGCTTCCATTTTTCAGCCTCAGCTTTGACCAGATCTGTGTCACCATGGGGAAACGGTCTCTTGGCAGCTTCATCCACTCCAGAACCTTTACCTGTTGTAATCCAAGAATTCTGCATGTTTCCCTAAAATAAAATGTGTCACTAATTTCAGCTGCCATTGAAGATAAATATACATACATATTCTACAAATGGAATATTGATTTTTATCTACAACAAAAGGAAAAGCACATGCTCCTAAACCACAACTCAAAAATCATTTTATATTTTGGGGCTATTAGGGTCATAATCCACAAAAGGTATTATAAATCAAATGCCTACAGATACATGCAATAATGTGAGTGTACTCAACAAGAAGAAGTATTATTTATTCAACTGAAGATATATGTATACTCTTGAAAGCCCTCTTGCATTCCCCTCACATTTCCATAAGGCAATGAATAATAATAATAATAACTAACACATATAGTATTTACTATGTGCCAGGCTCAGTTTTATGTGTTTCTTATATATTACCTAATTTAATCATTCCAAAAGTCTTTGAGGTAGGTTCTGTTGTTATCTTTATCATATAGATGAGGAAATTGAGTCACAGATTACCTTGCTAAGGGTCCAGACTAAGGAAGCAACTAATAAATTGTCAAGAAAGGATCTGAACTATGGCAATCTGACTCTAGAAATCACACCCTAAATAAACGACTATATAATTCTTATTTTCCAGAAAAAAAAAAAATTGTATCTGTTAAATAAGAAATCAATGGATGCACTGTGCTAATCAGAAGTGAGTCTGAGTCTCAGAGATTCAGTGAGGAGTGGGAGGGACCAGGGTGACACAGTAGAGATATGCAGCATCCTAAGGAAGCAGTCAACCCTCAGCTAAGGTCAGGCACTGCCATGAGGGAGCACAAACTTATTTATCCAAACATCTTTTGATTTTTTTTTTTTTTAAGATAAGCCAGAAATCTGATCGTCCTTTGAAACATTGTTAAATATTGGCTCAAAGTGTGTCAAATACATACAACATGTCAGTATGTAACCTCTGGCATCTTTGCAATGTACAAACAAATCAATACTCAAGAGATCTCGGTAATTTATGGGGAAAACAAAGATGAAAATATATTAATTTAAACAAATAATTATTGAACCCTTGCTAAGAGCCAAGAATTCAATAATTATTTGTTTCATTAAATTAACAAATATTTATTGAACTCCTTGTGATAATATTCACAAAGAAGGACAGGTCCTCCAGCACTCAGAACTATATTGTAACAATACTTACGTTAGAATGTGGTAAATTGTGTATTTATCAAAATTACTGTTCTGAGATTCTACTCTATGTTCTTCTGGAAGTTAAGTTTAGTACAAACATTTGTGTTATTATCTACTTTGTTAAGACACTGTGCTATGTAAGTTTGGTGGGCAAAAATGAGAAGGGCCAACCTTAGTCTTAAAACACTTACGGTGTAAAAAGGGAGACAAGCACCCAGACAGATGATTTTCATTTAATTTAATTTTCATTTCATGCTATACTACAGCTGTGCATGAGGGATTATGTTCGAATGGAGGAAGAAACTAAGAGAAACTAGAGACTCAAGGATAGTTTTCTGGAGAAGTTTGTCTCCTATGATATCTTGAAGAACGACTAAGAGTTAGCTAAATGGGAAGAGTGTTCCAGGAAGAAAGAACCTCATAAGCAAAGTTACAGAGTTATAAAATTACATGCTGCCTTCAGGTAACCCTTTGAGAAGTCAACATTGCATTGGGTCAGAACGGGGCATGACAGGTGGTTGCATTCAATGAGTGCACTGACGCCCATGCCAAAGCCCAGCGACTGGAGGAGTATGCAGTCTTCCCTGTCCGCTGCACTTCTGGCAATCAGGGGTGCAGCCCCCTCACCCACACCCACCTGGAGACCTGTGGCACACATTCCACTACACATCTCCCACCAAGTGGTCCACAGTACAAGTCCCTGCACCATTGTCATGAACTGAATTTTGTACCCCAAAATATGTGTCAACTGGCTGGGCCACGACTCTCAGGGTAGGTTGTGGAATGAAATGTGGCAGTTATGTAATGATTCCCCATGATGTGATCTGATGTGATAAGTCAATAAGTTAAGGGTGGGATGCAACACCCTTGAACCACTCACAGTCCGAAGGGGATTATCCCTGGGATGTGGCCTGCAACACCTTTTACTTACAAGAAATAAAAGGATAGAGAGGTGAGCAGAGGTCAGAGGAACCCAGTACCATGAAGAAAGAAGAGCTAGGAGTAGAGTGTGTTCTTTTAGACCTGGGTCTCTACTCTGTGATGCTCTTAGATGCAGGGGGAAGACTGATGCAAATACACAAGGAGATATCCAAGGACTGTTGGGCCTACAGATGCTAAAAAAAGACAAGGACCTTTTTCTCAGAGTTGACAGAAAGAGAAAGCCTTCCCCTAGAGCCAGCATTCTGAATTTGAAACTAGCCTCCTAAACTGTGAGAGAATAAATTTTTGTTTGTTAAAACATTCCACTTGTGGTATTTCCATTACAGCAGCACTAAATAACTAAGACAGCCTGTGATGCCCATGCCCAGCCCTACTCACACCACCCAGCTTGCCACTTTGATTCCCTAGAGGCTGGTGACTGTACTCAACAGATTTTACTATCACCCATGAAATTAATGGCACCCAGTAGTTCAGTGTGACATGAAACTGTGTGCCTGCCAAAGAATAAATAAGTAGTGTGAACTCCTGCCCTCAGTCACATGTGTCTCACACAGCTACGCATGTGACCAACCTTGTGATGTACTCCACCCACACACAATGAGCAGCTGCAACTGTGTGATCATGCATGAATCTTCCTACTACCTGCAACCCCTCATCCTCCACCCACCGGACCCATTGAATGGCAGTGACTGGGTCCCAAATCATCCACCAAACCCATCATATTAGCTGCATGGCCTGTTTACCAAATTCCACTACCTGAGCCACTGAGTCGCAGTAGACAGCATCCAACGCTCACTCAGTCCATTCTCAGATGCTCTGTTTGACCAGCAAACATAGATCTGAGCTCAGCTCCCAGCCACCACCCTGCCCACCAGAAGGCAGGCGCTGAACACTACAGTCCTGCCAAACTAGCAACCAAAGTAACACACTCACCCTGTCCACCAAGATATATCAAAACAAAATAAACAAAAAATCAGGGTGAAATGACCAAACATACACTCAATAAATACAGTAACACCTTAATGCCTGGAAGACAACAGATAATATCAAATCAAATAAAGATGAAGATGGCTCAAGCAAGTTACGAAAATGAAAGTCTAGAAAACCTTTCTAAGGAAGAAATGGCAATGGAATGATCTGATAAATGAATTCAAAAGACTTATATTTAAGACCCCTCAAGAGATCAAGGAAAACAGACAAAATCAGAGAAAACTAAAAGAATTCAGGATAACAGTATAGAAACAAAGTGATAAAATAAACAATAATAAAAACCACAGAAAAACAGCAAAGAGAAATCTAGAAGATTAACAATAAAACTTGATCAATGGATAGTTCAATGGAAACAGGAGGAAAACTGAATCTATAGAAACATTCAGCAAAAAGAATAAGGATTGAGAGAACAAACAAGATGGTGGATCGGGTGGACGTATAGCAGAGAGCTCCGCCAACAACAACACAGAATACCCGACCAAGCAGGTTCAGGGGATGGTCCCAGAACTCTGAACCACCTGTAAAGGAATACTTAGAAGGTTGGAAGGCTCACAGCTGGGGGAATTTGTGGCTGAAGCAAGAAATATATTGCTTTCTAGTCCGGGACGCTCAGCTGCTCCAAGAGCCGCCATCTTGGATGAGATCACGAGGGGAAGGGATCGGAGCGGCCACAGACGCCTGGCAGAACCGCTGAGATAAAGGTGTGGACATTCTTTCCTTTTGGTATCTGTTCATTGGTCCCTTGCTGTCTG